GAATCACTTACTGATGTGATCCAATAATTCAACTAATCATTATATAGTATTATTTTAAAAATAATCTATAACATTAGGTCATCAAAGAGAGGAGCCTATTAGGTTTATGCCGTTTAGGCAGACTATATATGCAGAATGAGCAGGATTCTGCAGAAATGAAATATGAGGACATATACTCTCTGACGGCATCACACAGTGGTCATCCTGTATTGCAAGTCAACAGATATACGAAGATATGGATCACTAGATTTCCATTCAGTGACTCACTGCTAGAATTGAAGATCCTGAGTTCGATCTTAAGCAGCGTTATGGAAGTTTACTATTGAGGAGTTTTATACTAGGACAGAACAGATATCCAGTGATCTCGGGTTTTCAATGATTCTCTCTATAGAACTTCCAAAAGAAACTAAATATTGAAATGAATCTTTTCTGATGCATACTTGCATACTTCACTGCAATACTTGCATATCTTCTGAAAGGAAATCTTTGCCATAATCTACCTCATCATAAAGAACAATATTACAAAACTATAACCACCCTAGCTAGTAATCACCCCAGCTAACCTTTCATCTGATGTTAAAGTGACAGTACGGAGATCGGACTGTTCTACTCATCAAGACTGAAGTATGCGTGATTTAATATACCATTTTACTTCAAACAGTCTATACAAACTGTTGAATATTACCTACCATCTCGGCGTCGGACTATTAGTGTTCAGCAGTTGAAATCGAGATAATAGTCCTCAGATATTTGGGGAAATATGAGCGAAGAAATATATTCCTTTTCAATTAAGTCTTCATCTTGGGCTCTATACTAATATATAGTTTTACAACTTAATCAAATTATCAATCATATGGTGTTGTTTTAGAAATAGTAATGTAAATAATCAATCAAACTGGAAATATAAAGTAAACTATTCTTAGGTTAATGGGGTGATTTTTGATGTGTTCAATCATAAACAGTAAGTAGTTACGTAATAATAAGAGGACAAATGAATATTGATAGAAACAAGAGGGGGCAGAGGTGTACAAAGTAATACTAGAGGTTAGTCACACCATGTTGACGCCCACAGTAATGAAAATGGTCACACAAACTTCTTTTGAATACAAAGGTTAGCTTTGTAAATGTGGACTACAATCACCTCTGTTATGTGAAGCAAGCGAGTGTGTAATCCATGTGGTAAATTAATTAGAATGTGATGAATAATTTTGAAAGCTTTTGCTAGTATCCACTTGATGTCTCGAGTCAACGAAGTGTGGAAGTATGTAGCTCTTTACTGTTCTGATTTGTGCCTTGCTCAACTATAATGAGGTGGAGCTCAGAAATTCGAAGATGAAAACTGTATACACCGCTAGCCGAATTCGGGGACTGAGTTTGACAATTTCACACCAAGAAAAGTAAACCACCATGACCAGCTGGATTTATGTGTGATTGTTGGACATTTTACCTCAGCTGACTTTATTTTTATGCACAATGGCTTCTATTCTTCGACCAGATGATATTGAATGTGATAATCAAATTTATTTATTGTCTTGGGAGATTATGAGTATTTTTCGAATACGAAGTAGTTAGACCCTCTGAGTTTATCTGAGAAATATGATTCATCTGTGCAATATATTTAAACAATCTGACCACACGTTTACTTGTCTCAGTGTCATTTTTATATGATAAGTGAGAATAGGTATTTGATTAAACCTGTCTTAAACTGCCGTTGGATGAGATGATCTGAAGTTTGGATACCCGTTGGAATGTGTCAGTTTTCTGTAGAATATAGCGTCCAAACCACCATCTGTCCTTCAATTTATCCTTGCTCATTTTCCATCTCATAAGTGAAGTGGATTGCAACCACTACTGAGTTTATTTATGTCTGAAAACGTCGATATGTTCGGATTTCAACACAGTGGTGAATGTGTCATACAAATATCGCCACCATATCTTAGGTGCAGAATTAAACGTTTGTAATCCCATATTTTCCCAACTACTCAATGAATTTACCTGCTACGATTGGCGACATTCACTATCCCATTGCTACTCCTTCTGTTTGTCTGTATATATTGTCCTGAAACTTGAAGATTGTAGAGGTTAGACACAACTGTATGCCTAATATGGTCTCATCAACCGATATCTCACTTCTGTAAGTAGGTTCTGGGTCGATATTTAGTTGATTTCTGACTGCCTCCAATGCCATATTGATTGGTATTTTAGTATAAGGAGTTGTTACATCGAAACTAATCATTTTTTCATCCTTTTCTATGTGTATGTCATTAAGCCTTAGTTTTAACTCGTAAGAGTTTACTAGTCTGGAATCTGAACGGTTCCTAGCAGGACATAATATCAATTCTAATTACTCTGCTAGATCATATGAACTAGCAAAGGGGAGAATAGATTCGGATTAGTCAAACAGAATAAAGACAATACAAGATTTTATAAATTAAAGATGATAGGAAACAGTCGCACACATTCTCACAGTGCACAAAGTATTATTTTAATGAGATTACAAGTGAGCAGGAAGGTTCAAGGTAAAGTAAAAACTGTTTCCGAAAACATAAGGAGGGTTTGCACATCATTATTATCACAGCGAAACTGTAGGCAATATCAGAACATCCACATAGGAGCCCATATGCTAACAAAGATCGATCGATTCGGTCCATAACCAGACGGCAAATTGCGAGCAATAAGATACAAACTATGCCCACTGCACAGGAAGTGGCTGTCGTGACTCAGTGGCCAAAAGGATTGTACTCTCATGTCTGAAGCCATCTGTTCTAGGTCTGACTCTTAGAGAAAACGACATCACTCTCTGTGAGGCAGGCACATACAGCTGACGAGTCTCAGATGGGGTGAAACACGAACCTTAGGTCCCACGGCTAGCAATTATCCATCATTACCATTTTGCTATTACGTAATAGAAACCTCCAGATGGAATTAATCTAGTACTCAGAGGTGATTCCTGAAGTTCCAATGAGAAGTCGCTTCTGGTGGGGCAAACTTGATGGACATTAGGACAAATACTCAACGATGACATTGGGTGATAGTCGCACTATGTCGTGAACTTACAGAAGTAGGAAATTTGAAACGCTGAATTCCGACCCAGTTGCTCACTAGTAACGTGTTGGCCACGGAACCTGAAGGTCCTGGGTTCTATCCAAAGCGGCGTGGGGTCATGAGTGGGCACTTCTGAGGAGTTCATTAGTGAGACCAGACAGATGTCCAGTGTTCTCCAACTGATATCAGTCTACGGTGAACTCCAACCTGAGATGGTAAAGTTTTGTAAATCTTTCCAAGAAGACAAAAGCCAGTTGAAACTTTTCCATTCTGCAACACCAATGCAAACTTTTCAATCACTAATCTAGTTTGAGTTCTGTTCAGTAGGCTCCAGTTTTAGCAGTTTAGAAGTAATTTAGGGAAATCTGACTACTGATCTGCTAAAACAGGTTTTCGATGTTTCCTTACTGGAAAACATTCACTTAACAATTTAGGTTAAAGAACAGACTATAAAGCTGAAGGATAACAAAGAGATCTCATTTTTTTCTCTTTGAGACCACTATAATGTCTGCCTATCAACTCTAAAAAATAATCGTCACTTTCCAACGTGAGTTACTGGAGATCGACGGATTTCATGTTGTCTAATCCTGAATGCTTACCTAATTCTATCAGTCATTTTGCTATATGACCACCAGATTATATGGCTCACTGTCACGATGCATTTTGATGGATATTAGTTAGTTGGAAGAAATCAACTAGAAGCCGTGCTCGACTTAAGTTTCGTTTTTTTCAGAACTCGTCAACAAGGTGTATCTGCAAACTCTACAAAAATAATCTCCTATCTAAGATTGGAAACCGTATTATCCTATGTGTTAGTCAGCGACATTACCACTTTGGTATTCGGCCGTGAGTATGCATGTGGAGTAATGTGCATATAATCGATAAAATGAATAGAATTTATCCGCTAGTATGAGTCAAATAATGAGTAGATATTTAGGAAAGATCATAGCCTACTAGGAATTGATATAAACATTCCTTGAACACTCCTTTCAATTCAGTTTATATCAGTTGCATTCTAACTAGTGAAATTCCTGATCACTACTTTTTGGTTGATTATTTCATCGAATCCTTTTTTAAAAAAAAACACATTACACTGCCTACTATCAATTAATCATAAGTAGTATTGTGTTTCTGAACAGTGAACTTATTATACCGCTGATAATAACAAAACAACAACCGTAACAACAACAAAAATTGATTAATGATAAATTTTCTGCACGAATATTTTCTCATTCTATTTTCTTTTCTCTTTTCTTTACCTTTAATTTTCATAATTTACACGTAACAAAGTATTGTACATTGAACAAGTCTATATATGTCTATGGGTATACTTGTTGGAGTATACTAAACATTCAACTATCAAGTGTTCAGTTTAAAACACGAAATTGAAACATTTATCACCAACTAATGTCAATTGATATATATATATATATATATATATATATATATATATATATATTGCTAGTTTACTTATGTTTTATACATTACAGAAGATTTGTTCGACTTTTTGAGATGTTCTTTCACTTTAGAAGGCAAAAGAGAATACAAACTACTAACTAAATGGTTAACAAGAGCATGAATATGCAGACTCTTCATTCCTGTCTTAGATAGGTGTAGTTTCGCATTCTGATGCTAATAATAATCGGGAAAGATAGAACTTGAGCCGATTTATTCATTTCATTGTCCTTGTTTAATTATACACAAATAACCAATCAGACTGAAATAGTCGAATTGTATACTTCAGACATGCAAACAGCAATACAAAGCTTAGTTATATATATATGTATGTATGTTTATGTGAACTAAGTCCAACTAGCATTTTGGGATAGGAAGAAATCTTTAAACTATCACTATCTTAGTATTGTTATGTTTTTTGTAATGTGATTTGAAAATAAACAGTAGCCTAAGTTACACAATATATATTCTAAAATTCATTGTATTATACCACAATATAGACGTTCATTGGGGAATGTGGAGTCCATACTGGAGATACACAATTTAATACTAATTGATACTGGGGAATATTGGTGTTATGCTGAGAACGCATTAGGCATAGCTAAACAAAAGTTTCTTCTGAAAGGTAAGTCAATGTTTTTAAAAAAAATTTATTTATTTGAAAGAATAATTTATACTCGATAGATAATTTAATTCATTTATTCGGATAAAAAGCAACAATCTGAAAGAAAATATTCTTTTCATTAGATATTCTTATTAGGTACTACAGTTATAAAGTACATTTGTACGGCATGAAATCCATCCATCTTATTTATTATTATTATTAGTCCCTTGGGTTCCTAGTGGAACATAGGGCTTTAGTGGCACGTCTCCAGTTAACTCTGTTCTCTGAGATCTTTTGAACCTGGTTCCACGACAGCCCACAAGCTCTCATTTCCTCCTCGCACGACCTCCTCCATGTCACCCTCACCTACAACGCCCAACTCGTCGCTTCCCATGGGGATTCCACTCGAGCAACTGGCCTGACACGTGATGTCCTCAGTCGGCCTTCTCAGTGCATGCCCAATCCATCTCCACTTCTTCCTGCATATTTGTTGCGTGATAGGTTCTTGGTTGGTTTGTTCCCAGAGTTCCTTGTTGCTTATTCCTGTTATCCTGGCCATCTGATCTTCAGTAGCGAGCCAGCGTAGATGGCAGTTGTTGATGAATGTCTGTAGTTTATTGGAAATACCTTTCGTGACGCGCCAAGTCTCTGAAACATACAGAAGCACTGACTTGACTGTATTGGTGTTGAAAATCCGGATCTTGTTCCACATGCTGAGTGCAGTGCAGAAGATCTCCACACTGGTTTCAGGCTAATGAACGCCTGTCTTGCTTTTCCGATTCTGACTTTGACGTCCTCGTCCGTCCCGCCTGTAGTTGAAACAATGCTGCCTGGATAAGTGAAGGAGGTTACTTCCTTTAAGTTTCTCCCGTTGACGGTGATTGGAGTTTGTTGTTGTTGGCGGTGGTGGTGGTGCGGTATCTTCATCACCTCTGTCTTCTTTATATTCACTTGAAGTCCCGTCTTCGCTGCCCATCCATCTTAGGGGCAAATATATTCTCAAAATGGAGTCAGACTTAAGGAGTGTAAGGATGTTGATTTTTATTTCCTAATTTGAATCAATTAGTCCCTTTTATTTTTGCCGATGATTTATGTGTAATGTCGCAAAAACTCGAAGATCTACAGGCAAAGCTAACAAGTTGATAGAAGAGGCAGCGAAAATGGAACTTTGAGTGTATTTGGAGAAGGCAGAGGTGATGAAGATATCCTACTAATAACAGCATCAACAACAAGAAGCACCAATCACCATTAACAGGAGAAACCTAAACGAAGTTGTCTCTTTCAACTACCTACTTGAGCAACACTGTTTCGAGGATGTCAAAACCAGTATCGGAAAGACAGCAAAACAGGCTTTCATTAATCTGTGGAGATCTACTTCACTCAGCGCAAAACACAAGATTCGGATTTTCAACACCAATCCAGTCAAGTCAGTGCTGCTATGTGGTAGTTCAGAAACTTGGTGTGTCACGAAGAGCATTTCTAACAAACTATAGACATTCATCAACAGCCACCGCATACACTCTCTTGATACTCATGACCAGAAAGAATAAGCATCAAAGAAATCCGGGAACGAACCAACCAACAACCTATCACCCAAACATATACAGAAGGAAGTGCAGATGGATTAAGCATGCACTGAGAAGACCATTCAAGGATATCACGCTCCAGGCCAAGGCAGGCCGCCGAGTGAAATCCAAACGGGGAACGACGAGTTGGGTGTCCGACGTGAGGGTAACATGGAGGAGATCGTGTGAAGAAGAAATGAGAGGTTGTGGGCAGTCATGGCGACAGCTTCAAAAGATTTCAGAGAACAGAGTACACTGGAGACCTCCTACTGAAGTCCTATGTTCCATTAGGAAACCAAAAGTCAAATAATAATCATAATAATAATGTGATGTGACGTGAGCACTGATGCAGTGCTCAGCTTTATGGTGAATCATGTGTTTCGTTTATTCCACAATGATGAGATTAACTGCATATTATGTTTCCCTAGTAGCTGATGTCTACCTACATCTCAAAATTACACTACACAACTCCCCTCTCTATGGTAGACTGATATCAACGCTTTTCTGAAGAACCGTGTATACAGTTGTCCTTGGTGCTACTTGATCTCCACAACGGTTTGTTCACTTCAACCGATATCTGTTTATCATAAATGTTTTAGTCAGTAATCTGACATATTCATTCATCGTATCTGCTGTACAGCACATACGATGGATCCGATCAATCAAGCATTGTATTAGACCTCGTCTGCTTTGGATAGAACGATATCTGTGATAACTGAGGTATTGTCCTGTCCATGTGGGCTTTCTGTAAACTGGCTGTCTGATTGAAACATCTTCTCATCGACTCTGGAGTGTGTCTAAGAATATCAAGTGATTATTATTCTCTTTCTCACAAGTCAGTCTGTTGTGAGTTTGTACGACATTGACTTTTATTAGTAGATAAGCCATATCTTCATACCTCTCACAGATCACTATGATGTCATCAACATATTTCCTGTGAAGAGAAACTTTAATGATGGGATCACCAGACAGATTTTCCACATATGACACATAAATATTAGCTAGTGCTGGTTCTAAGGGACTACTCATAGCTAGACCATCAACTTGTTGAGTGCGGTCACCTTCAAATGTGAAGTGGAATTTGCTGGTACATAGCAAGAACAGTTCTCTCAGAAAGACTGGAGTAATGAGGAATGAGAAGTTTCTAGAATGTGTATGGTCGGAGAGAATGTTAATGATCTTGAACAGCGAAACATTAGTGAATAAAGAGTATAAATCGAAAGACCACATATTCTTGTTCTTGACATTCATGTTACCAAAACAGTCAACACGTTGAAAAGAATCTTTCAATGAAAACACTCAGAATTCGTTTTGAAACGGACTCAACATTTTCGCTAACCATTTCCCTACCACAACCTCATCGACTTTGAAAAGGCATTCGATAGTGTCAATCCACAAGTAATTTGGAAGGCAGTTGCTTCAACACTACACTTTCAGTGACACCAAACTTTATCTAACAAATTCAACACCACCTACACACAATATGATGATGCCACATGCAAAGTGATTGACAATGGAAAGTTGAGTGATGCCTTTGAAGTGAAGACAGGAAGGAGTGAGACAAGGCTGCCACCTGCAATCACCGATCATCTTAATGATTGTCAACTGGTTGACTGGATTGTACTGTGTTGTGTAAGGAAGTGTGTTGAGTTGTGATAAGATGGGTATACACTGTTTGACCGAAGAGAGGACCCTGGAAGGAGATTTGGATTTCTCCAACAATGATGACTTATGTTCAGTGTCCTGTAGTAGAAACTCTAAGATCTACAGGCGAAAACTAACAGGTTGATAGAAGAGTCAGCGAATATGGGACTTCAAGTGAATGTATAGAAGACGAAGGTAGAACTGATCAAGATACCGAAGCAACAACAATTACAACAGCAAGCTGCATGAACGGAAGAAATGTAGACGAAGTTGTCTCTTTCACCTACCTACCGACTTACGTAGGCAAGCAGCATCGTTTCAACTACAGGTGACACAGGCATAGATGAGGAAGTCAAAGCCAGCCAGCATCGGTAACACAGCAAGACAGGCATTCATGAATGTGAAATAATCAGTTTGGAGATCTACTGAACTCAGCATAAACAACAAGATGTAGAATTTCAACACTAATTCAGTCAAGTCAGTCAGTGCCTCAATGTGATGATTGAGAGAGATGGTGCGTTACGAAAAGCATTTCCAACAAACTGCAGACAGCCATCACATCAACAGCTGCCATCTACACCCACTCGATAGTGAAGATGGAGATCAGATGGCCAGAATGATAGGAATAGGCATCAAGGAACTCTCGCCTGACAACGAACAAGCAACTAAGAACCCATCGCCCAACAGATATGCAGAAGAAGAAAGTGGAGATGGATTGGATTGGATCGAATATACATTGAGAAGACAGTTTGGAGACATCACTCATTAGGTCAGGCCGTCGAATGGAAGCCAAACGGGGTACAACAAGTTGGGCGTCCGAGGCGAGGGTGACAAGAAGTATTCGAAAATAATTATATCTCATCTATTCCGCAATTCTTTTAAAGATTTGTAGTGCTGTGGTGTCAAAATGCTTTTTTGTCTTATTTCTGAATTATGGAATTGATTAGCAATATCATATAATTTAGTGTTTAACCAACTTTGATTATATGAAGACGTAGGGAGGAAAGGACTCAATGAGTCATAGAGATTTTCAAACTCAGAGTTTGCCAATATTGGAATAACGTAGATACAGATGTTTAACGCAATGGTAATCTTTCTGAATGCACAGGTCAAGTTTCGTCAATCTTATTGGGTCAACCTCTTTTGTGTTGAACTGGAGTTGGTGAGGTACACGTGGTATTGTTTGAGAATAAGATGAGTGACATTGAAAGCTTTATTAACATCTGTATGATGATATATGACTACTAGGGAGGTAGAATAGAATTTTTCACAACTTTCAATTTGCCCTATACCGAATCAAGTCAGTAAATTTTCTCATATTCGGAGACAAACATATTCTGTAACCTTTAAAGTGGTGAAAAATCACTGAAGTACGTTCCAATGCTCAATCAAATGGTTTGCAGTGAAATAAGAACTGTATGGTTTCGTAAACTTTCTTACTTTTAGTCAAAAGACGTAGGTCACCCTATCTATAAACGTCTGTCTACCGTATGACAGTAGTTATTCGCTTTTTGAAGAAAGCCACATTCGAGACTATGATGACATTTAGAGAAAGCTACAAGTGTGGATGCATTTTCATTTATTTGTTTAAAATTGTATAAGTGTTGTTAACGATTTGATATGAAGTAGTCAAAAGCATGTAATTGTCTAAGAACAAATTTGTCTCAACGAAAATGATGTAACATTCTAGTTACAAGGTATCATGATAGCTTGAGAATATCATTATAGTATGGAAGAAGGTTTCAGCATGGATTATCATCAGTTAGATAACCATCGAATATGTGGGTGGGAGGGAACGCTAGAAAATATTTC